CGAGAAAGAAAGGGAAAATACGTTTCCTTTGATACCTTCTTTGGAGTGTGAAATACGAGCTTCTCCATCTTAGAAAAACAATGTATGAAGTCATCCAAAAACAGGGAGTAGGAAACCCTTACAGAAACCGTCGTCTCAGCTTCTGTTTCAGTAACGTAAAGTTGTCCCTGTGCTTAACTAATTAAGCACTACGTCATGAATACGTATGGGAGAGTGGATTTGTAGATCCATATTTCCTGATTTCGGCACTAGTTAGACGTGAATGGTCAGCTTCACGTCCCGGCTGCTTTACACCCGGTGAATGGTCCCGTGTTACCCATTAAATAGGAGGCTGGGTGGGCCTCAGAGCCGGTCTGGACGACGTGGAAAAGACAAAATTGTTGCCTCACCGGGTCTCGAACTCCGACCCCTCTGTCGTCCATCCCATAGCCAGTCGCTATCCCGGCTCAGTATGATCACAGTGGCTACTCTTAATTTGAATACACGACGCAGTACGAGCATTTCTTTATTAGGACACTGATACATTTTATTCCACTTACGTAGGCGTCTGAATTTCGGACTGTTGTGTGTTAACGAACTCCAAAGACGAAGTTTCATGCTCATAGATTTTGAAAGTAATTTGTACTCGTTGGTGTTTAAACTCGTTCGTATATCGGAAACGAATTAACTCCATGGAAGAGAATACATTTCCGCTGATCAAGAAATCGCCTGCCTTATATGGAACATGAATATCTACTACAGTGATAACAACCTCCCTCAGCTGGCTCCAATTATGATTTAGATTAATCCAATCCACACCTTGATTATCTAAGATCCATTTTATATTTTTATACCACCTACGCTGAAGTCTACGTATAAAGCAGAATCCATCGTTTGGCTTCAGTCCAGCGGCAGTGCAATACTTCACGTAATTAGGAACAGAAACTTCTGTAATAGGCTTTCAATAAAACTGCATTACATTGTAGGCTAACTCACTCTGTTGGTACATCATTTTATACTTTTTATTATTATTTTTCTCATGGGGTGAGACTGAGTCCATTCGTGCGTCCGCTACTAAGTGGCCGATTCTACCAATACCGGATGGTAGATGATGATTGTGGAGCAATTGGTGGAATGCAAATTGGCAGGGGGAAACCGAAGTATTCGGAGAAAACCTACGCAAGTGCCACTTTGTCCACCACAAATTCCATATGACCTGACTCGAGGTCGAACGCGGACCGCCGTTGTGGGAAGCCGGCGATTAACCGCCTGAGCTATGGTACGGCCCTGTTCGGTGTGTTACTCAAGTAAAAGTTAAAGTTGTCCCTGTGCTTAATTAATTAAGCATTTTGCCATGAAGAAGCATGGGGAGTGGAGGGATGGCTCCAACATTCTTTATCTCGGCGGTAGAGCGGTCAGCTTAAATTCCCAGCAGCCTTACTCCGTGATTTTAGTCCGCAAGCGAACTATACCGACCGAGCGACCGCAGCTTGTCGGCGATAGAGGGTGTCGCGTGGTCAGCGCAACGAATCCCCACGGCCGTTAATTTCGGTTTTCTAGACCGGAGCCGCTATTTCCTTGAAATAGCTCCTCAGTTTTCATCACGATGCTGTGTGGACCCCGTTCCAGACCCACTACTTCTCAGAAAAAATCTGATAGCCGGACGTCTGGATCTGTAGCCATGAACGCTGACCACTAGACCATAGAGGCGGTCATGCCCAGTAGCCTTACTCCGGAGAAAATAGCCCCCGATACGTGTTGATAGAAGGGTGGGTAGGCCTCAGAGCGGTTTGGGAGCTTTGGAGAAGAGAAAAACTTTGCCCCTGCCGAGAATGGAAACCTGGGCATCCAGCCTGTAGCCCGTCACTATACAGACTGCCATGTTACGCACCAAAGCATGCAGTGTACGTATAACCTGTACAGTTCGGTCCTAAAAATTACGACTGTGATTTAGGATCGCTTGCTGAAAGATAAGAAACGGTTACATATTGAACGTGTTGTCTCACTGCGTCACGAATACATTTTGAAGTAGCTGATTCAGTGTCTATAAAATTCTGTGTCAGGGTCTGATACGTAGTTCACTGTGAAGCTGTCATTTTTATTCATACTATTAGAAGTAGCTACCAGGTGTCATCAAGCAAATTTCTGAGGTGGGCAATAATCAGTGTCTTTAAATGAAGGATTTGAAATTTAGTACTACAATATACATTTGTAAAAACACATGCAAGTTTTATTAAATAGTACGTGTGCGCCTGTTATATGCCTATTATGTATTTTTTTAATATAACTTGAAGATAATGGAGGAAAGGCATAGAACAGTCATGACACAGCAGCCAGGGTCGGGCGGCGAGGTTTTCAGTCTTACGCGCCGGCCGCCCTTTACCCCCCAGGAAGATTCTTGGTACTCATTTCTGTTAGAGGCGAAGTCAAAACCAGGATCATAGTGCTGCTGGAAGGATTATGTAAATTTAAAAATCCGATGGCCTAATCGGGAATCAACCCCGCGACCTTCCGGCTTCTAGAAAGCATAGCCTGTTTCTTTAATTTATGGAAACTTTTGTTACTATAGTAACCCCTCGTATAACGAACCCTGATGTAATCGGACAAAATCTGGCTCTATACTGTTGTGAATTTTTAGAAATGTTGCACTAAGAAGCTTTCCCAGTTTGAAAACTACTTAAAATAACAAAGGACCCCAATATAGAAACCTCACATTGTGAATTTCTATGTTTATCTCGTGTATTTTCTATGTGCCCTATGGTGTACTTCCGTGGATAATTCTACGCTCCCTTATAGCGGAAAATGTGTACCTGTGAAATGTTTACTTATGTTTTACTATTGCGTTTGCCCTTATTACGGCAGTTGTGATCGACGTTATGCACAGGGCGCCCTGATGAAGAGAAACAAACTGATGGTTGCAAATCATGTTGCACGGTGAGGGATCAGAACCGGTCCGACGATAACGTCCACGGCTGCAGATGTAACTTCCGCTGACACCTGTCTAAGACGGAACGTGGATATTGCTTAAACCTTCTTTCCCGGAAAATGTAGGCCTCTCTGTTTCTGATAATAGGCCTTTAAATGAAAATTGTAAAAAGGTAAAAACAATTGTCCTTGTGCTTAACTAATTAAGCACTACGCCATGAAGGCGTATGGGGGAGTGGATTTATATATTCACGTTTTCTTGTCCTCAGCATTAGTTAGAGATGAGTGGTCAGCTTTACCCCCGGGGTACCCCCAGTACCCTTCGGATAGGAAGTTGAGTGGACCCCAGAGTCAGTCTGGACGTCTTGGAGAAGAGAAAATTCTTGACCCTACCGGGACGCGAAATCCGACCTCTCGGTCGTGCAGCCCGTAGCCAGTCGCTATACCGACTGAGCTATCCCGGCTCCTAAATGAAAATTGTACGCTTAAATATTTATTTTTTGTGTATCTTATATAATTTTATCTCTCTGTATAGTTAGGTCTGAAGGTATGACTTCTCCCATATGCTTAGGCTAATTAATGAATCACTGTGCTGTTCGGAGGAAATAAGTGTAGCTCTTCATATTCATAATCTCGGCACTAGATAGAGGTGATTGGCTAGCTTCAAGCTCCAGCCGCGTTACTCCCGGGAGAAAAAGCACCTGATAGTTATAGGACAGAAGGCTGGGTGGGTCCTAGGTCTGGTCTTGACGCTGTGAGAAATGGAAAGATCATTATTAATGATGAGAATCGAACCACGATTCCTCGATTATGAAGCTCATAGCCCAGTCCGACTGAACTATCCCTTAATGTGCTCCATGTATTGTGTCTGGGAAGGAATATTCATGGGAGTAGTTGAAATCAGCGTAGCCGAGCGGTCTAAGGCATGCACTGTCTTCGCTCGCTCGGAAGCCGGGATCGTGGGTTCGAATCCCACTCAGGGCATGGATGTTTGTGTGCGTTTTCTGTGTTCGTCTATAGGTAGAGGCCTTGCGGCGAGCTGATCACCCGCCCAAGGAGTCCTACCGTATGTGTAAGATCTAGAAAAACCGAAGTGAACGGAGACGTTCATGGAGGTAGGCCTAGGCCCACTGGGGCTGTGGTGCCAAGGAAAAAAAAAAGTTGGGACCAGCCGTTAATACACGTGTGCGGACTAATTATTTTGGTCGACCATGGAGAGAGAGAGAGAGAGAGAGAGAGAGAGAGAAGGAAGGAAGGGAAGAAACTAGAAATTAATCAATTTCCAACGCTGTTTCCAACTACCGAAAAGGGGGTGTGTCTATCGAAGCTTAACCTTGAGCCTATGTGCATACACAGCCTACTGGCCCAGTTCAATAGTACGGAAAGAGTTCTATGCTAGAAAATTTTAAAATATTACCGTCCATAATGAAAACAATTTTTTATGGCGCTATTTCCTTAATTTAGAAAGAAATTGCATTGTAGATTGTTGACAAATTGAAGTTGGTTTCAGAAGAAAAGTTTTTGTTTCTGTGTCGAACCATAAACATTGTTAGTTAAGAACTGTAATAAAGTGCTGAAGTGTGTTATTGCGACATGAGCCACTCTAAAACTGCAAGAAAACACTGGCGCATTTGACATGCCTTATACATAGTGTTTACCGTATGCATGGCATTGGCCGTCTCTGTTTTATAGCATTTTGGTTCTGAATGAACAAGTTTTAGGTGGTAAAAGGAAGGTGAGTGTGTGTGTGTACGCGTGTGTGCGTGTGTCTATGTATGTGTGGGAGGCTGGGATATGTAGCAGGGTAGGTTGGGTGTACAGAAAGTAGGTCAGCGGAGACGTGAAGGGACACGGTGGTTGTTGGTAGCTCCTCCCATTGGCGCGTAACCCTTCCTCGCTAGTTCAAAATCCGTGTGTGCTATGTGCAGAATTGAGAGGCGGGGCTTATGGAGAGACAGAGAGACAGAGTGAGAGAGAGCAGTAGTTCGACACACGTTTGCTCACCGCTCGATATGGGGGATATAGCGGGGGTGGCCGGAGGAATCTACCGACATAACTTGCCCCCTCTCAACAGTACGTGTCAGTTCGTCGTGGAGTCGTGTTGGAAGATAGCCGCACGCGTTTTAGTGCAATCCCGTCCCGAGCGTTGAAAAAAATAAAAACAAGCAAATCTGCCGCTTAGAATTAAAGATGCTGGAAAATATGGTGCTGTTTTTTTGTTTATTTATTCATTGCACCAAGTCTTGGCGACTGTAAATCTTAATATATATGAAAAACCAAGTGATGTCTTTGTTTTTCTTCATCATTGACTGTCTGTTCACTGTGGCTGATGAGGCAGTTGTTGTGTGAGTGCGTGTGAGTAAATATTGTTGTAGAAAGGAAACGAAAAGGACAGTCGTGTTGTCCGTAAGGGAATGACAGGATTTTCTGCCTGGATCTGGCATCCTACGGGAACGGAATATCGTCCCATCAGCAGGTAAGGATAATTGAATTTCTCGTATTTCGTCTACCCCTCGTTCAATTAAAAAAAAAAAAAATTATCTTGAAAAGAAAAAGAGAAAACATGGAACTAACCATAGTTCCCCCCTCTCTTCTCTTAAACATTTGGCTGAACGCCCAAGTTTCACTCTCTATATCTTCGCATTCCTTTTTTGACCCTCCTTCATTATTCCGGCTTTTTCTGTCTCTCTCTGATGCTTGACTCATCTGTCTTCTTCTCTCATTTCCCTTGCTCGCTGTGTGACGTGTTTGGATCTTCGGGCTGACATAGTGGGACTTGAATACAGTAGAATTGGGCACCTCACTTACTGCGTTCCTGTAAGACCCGTAACGTTACGAGCAATACAGACGGTAGGAACGGAAAGTAGCTGAACAGGAACACACTGTAAGGTGCATTTCGTATTCGTATTACGAATTATGTACCGTCTAAACGTCCCATGATGTCCGTTTTTATTTGATACAGTTTAGTTATTACTTTCTAACTGGAATCTTATTCGTGCTATTCTCGCTGAAAGTTCCGTACAAGTGAAAAATGCCGTCTTCTTGGATGTGGCGCTGTGTAGATGTTTTGTTAACCCATGTTTCGGAGGAATGTATTGCCTCCATCTTCAGGGTATAAGAAATCCGCGAAAGATGAACCAGCGTGAACCGCCGTGGAAACCTCAAATTTTATTTCCGTAGAAGCGTTTAACTAGATATTTCAAGGTTATGGTTTATTTAGATTGCGGTCGTCTGCCTTATGATGACTACTGACGTTCCGGAGACACCGGCTGCCACGATCATCGGGTTCAAAGTGAATCAAGTTGGGATGTGGGTCAATAAGATACAGAGGAAAAAGTTGGGGTAAGGTTACGGACTCATTTCGGAAGTTGTAGACAGCCGTTATCTTCTGATTGTCGGTACTTACCTGCAGAATGAAACCCACAGTCTAGAAGCATAAAAGCATTCCTATTCAACTGTGCTGTTGCAAGTGCTGGCAGAACTATGGATGATGATACAGTCATTAACTAGAATGTGGTAGCAATGACTTACGATGACCTGTTTTCAATACAAAGGAATGCAGATAAAGTCAAAGTAAAGTTAACCCTAGGCGTAATTAATTAAGCATCACGCCAGGAAGACGTATATGGGAATGGGGGTATAGTTGCACCATTTGACCCTGCAATAGACGGAGGTGTGTGGTCAGATTTACACCCCTCTTTACCCCCAGAGGAAACAGCCCCGGGTACCCATTGTATAGGAGGTTTGGTGGTTTCCATACAATATCTCGACGTTATGGATATCAGAAAAATATCTTACGTCTACCGGGAATCGAATCCCAATTTCTCAGTTATCCAGCCTGTAGCCTAGTGGCTATACTCATAACTAACCCGGCTCCTCCAAGAGATGCTGTAACACCCTAATCCGGGTAGTCTCATAGATTTATGACATATGAACTCCAGGCCCCCCCCCTACCCGCCCGCGGAAGATGCGGGCCCAATTCAACACTATTCCTATGTAGGTCTCTGCCGCCATGTCCCCATTAAACGATTCGTATGCATATAATGTGAAAAGCCTTAGAAGTGCCACAGAAATTTTCATTAGATGTATTATATAGAGAATATATCTAATGTATGTGATGTGGTTCATTGAAAGGTTACGATTTAGTTCGCAATCTGTGGGGCGGAGAGAAAGGAGAACTGATATATCTCAATTGTGTAGCTTTCCACAGTTAAGTTGTCAACATTTGCTGTTGAGGACAATAGTCTATCCATGTCTACAGGATAAAAGCTGTTCGTCACAAAATTTTAATCCAGTATTTGGAATATAAAATCCAAAAATCCAATCCTCAAGTAAATTAACGTGACTCGAGTTTAAGGCCTACGATACCCATTGGACAGGAAGTAGAAAATTACTGGCTACTACTACTGTCACTGTTACTACTACTACTACTACTACTACTACTACTACTACTACTACTAATTCAGTTCAGTTCATTATTATTTATGTGCCAAGTTAAGAGCCACAAGGCCAATTACAGACACAGCATAGTGTAAATACAGATAATTGCATTTCGGACAAAGAAAAGCGTAAATAGAACACCCACGGGGCCAGTTTAAGAACAGTGGAAAATTGAAATTTCCACCTTACACGACAAAGAAAAGCTTAAGGACAATAAGAACAAAAAGTACCAGCGAACAATAAGGGAGTTCTTAGAAAACCAATAAAACTGATTAATAAAAATATCAAATCTTTTAATTATTTTTTATCTGTCTCTCTCTCTCTCTCTCTCCCTATGGCTGTACAGCCCTTTGGACATTGACCGCTTTTTCAGGTTCTTAATCCTATACACAGTCTGTAGGACTCCTCGGACGGGGGATCAGCCCGTTTCAGGACCACTACCTACACACAGAACAACACAAACGCAGAATAAACGTGCATGCAAGTGTACTACACGCCCAGTGTTCTAGTGGGCTAGACGGTTCATGCCTTAGACGGCGCGGCCACAGTGTTCGGCCAGTTATTTCTTTTAAAATAATAATAATAATAATTCGGAATCGGTGGGATTGAAAGGATTGTGTGTGGGGGGGGGGGGAGGGGAGGAGCGTATGACAAGGCATTTTCCGGTATCAGCCCAGTGAAACTGAGGATAACCACAAAATAGTCACTGATGATAATTTGGATGATCTCTGCCGAGATTCGAAGCGGTTATTTCCCAGATACAAGTCAGAAGAGTTTCCGCTTGGGCCATTTTGGTCCGTGCGTGTGTTTGTGAAGCCACATATTTGTAGTAAAACATGAACAAGAAGAATACCTTCTTCTGGGATGTGGCGCAGTTTAGATCTTGTGTGAACCGACGTTTCGGAGGATCGTATCGCCTCCATCTTCAGGGTAGAAAAATCCGCGTGCGAGGAACCAGCATGAGCAGGTGGCTGCAGACTGCTTATGCGATCACTATATTATCTGTGCGTCTGTGAATCCCCCCCCCTAATAACTTTGAGTGCCTGAAGCAATCTTTATGAAATTTTGTACGCATGCATGGCATCTGAGCCCATCTCAGTATCATATTACATAAATCCCTCCCATCAGTCTATGTGCCTGTATGTGTAGCCTTACTATTGTTGCCAAGCAACGGCTTGGTAAAATATATCCTTCCTTTCGTTCCTAGGCAACGAATACATGCAACAATGGAAGAATTGTTGGACGCTAGTGTCTGAGGGTCTATGATTCCCCCTATCGTTGCTAGATAATAAGTTAACACAACAATCCCGCTGCAACGAAGAATTGTTGGAGGCGTAATTTTCTATGCGGTCCGTGTCGTATCAAAAGAAATTAGACAATTAGTTTTTCCTATAAAATCAGTGTTCTTAAAATGTACATAACCTCAGTATTTTGTTTCTTCCTCTTCGCTCCCACTTTGGTGCATAGGGCTGATGTCTCAGTTTCATTGATCATTTTACAGACGGTAGGACTCCTTGGACGGGTGATCAGCTCGTCGCAAGGCCTCTACCTAAACACAGGACAACACACTTGTCACTTGTCAGACGCCATAAATGAGAGATACGAAAATGGGTGCAGTGTTCAACACACACACACACGCACACTTCTTATACATTAAGAAGATATCTGTGACGGTTCGCGGACCACCGACTGATTAACAATGCGTTAAATAAATTTTTATTTTAAATTCTACGAGTTTGAAACTAAATTTAGGCATATAGAAGGCTGTTAAGCGTGCGAATACTAACTGTCGGGAATTGTAACAAATCTCTTCAAGTTTAGTCTGTTCTGTGAATTGTTTGAACGCAAATGAATGTCATAGTGTGTTACACTGTGAGCCCTTGCGTTATTGATTCTTTCACGTGAGGCAATGTGGAGGGGCTGTTGTTAATGGAGGCACAGTACAACTGATCCATACTTCACAGTGATTGATACCTCGTCTTAGTGCGTTTCTGGTGGTTGAGAAGCAGCGCCCTGAAAGGCGTCTAGACAAACCATTCATGAAATTAGTCGAAAATTCATTGGACTCATTGACGAGAGTGCGTCTCTTACCGTAAGGACTTGCAGATGGGTTCTGCGGATACGGGGATGACGTAGTCGAGATAGCGACTGGCTACGGGCTGGACGACCGAGGGGTCGCAGTTCGAGTCGCAGTAGGGTCAAGAATTTTCTCTTCTCCACGTCATCCAGACCGGCTGTGGGGTTCACCCAACCTCTTATCCAATGGGTACCAGGGGCTCTATCCACGGTGGTAAAGTGGCCGTAGCGTGAAGCTGACCACTCACCTCCTGGTAGTGTCGAGGTGAAGAAAATATGGATCTATACATCCACTCCCCCGTACGCCTAGGGACAACTTTACGTTGTTAATAGTCAAAGATCAGTAACACGAAAATATGAAAAAGTTACAATAAGTTGAAATTTCAATGTCAGATTCCCGAAGTATGCAATATATTCGCAATGTTGTATTCAGCTACACTGCCTGTAATTCAGTAATTTGTATCACGGATAGCAACATCACATTACAAACCTTGCAGCCTGAAATTCATATAAATACTGTTTAAAATTCCGTTCGTGTCTCGCAGATAACATAAGTTTACTGCGCTACCATTACCAAGACAAGTCAGTTAAAACTGTCTGGATAAATAATTACCGATTATTAAGATAATTATACTTACTTAATCCGTTCCTCTTTTATCTTGCGGTGTCGAGGTTATTTTTATTTTTCATTTTGATCATTTTACAGACGATAGAACTCCCTGGGCGAGGGATCAGCTCGTCCCAAGGCCTCTAGCTAAACACAGGACAACACAAACAGAATAAACACATACACACACCAAGCATACATGCCTTGTGTGGGATTCGAACCCACGATCCCGGCTTCCGAAAACACTTCGTTCCTTAGACCTCTCGGCTACCGTGACCGGCTCAAAGAATTATACAGACACATAAACACATTGTTTTCTGTATCGTTAAAATAAGTGGTAAATATATAGTTAA